TTTAATAGTTTAATGTTACACACCCCAGGCATTTGTGAAATTATGATAAAACATGCTAACTGTATTTCTCATAATTTGATATGTGCCAATGGATTCTGTATGTTTCACTTCTGCATTATAGTATATTCTTGTCTGCTCCTGAACTCATCAATCCAGTTGTATTTTTGAAAATATTAGTTAACCTAAATAACCTCTTGAAAATCTACAAACCACTAAACTACCCAAGATTAAAGGGACTGTTGTGAATTTTAGTTTTATGACTGCTTACAAAGGTAGGTATCTTCACAAATGGTCTAGACACAACTTCCTAGTGACAGAAACCACTTGGAGTTTTAACAACTGTTTTCTGAATGCCATGTGCTCCTAAAACAAGCTTTTTAGACATTTACAGACTTACTTGTGCACTATCAGCAAAAATATGAAAGGTGAGAACACTGCACTATGACACTAAGAGGCTCATAATGAGAACACAGATCGATCAGTATTGATTTTGACACTGTTTACTGTTTGCTGAAATGCTGTCAAAGTCCAGCAAACCAACTTTTGCAACACCCCATCAAGTGAAGTATTAATGACTCCTCTGAGATTTTCTTCCAGCAATTTTAAAAAAGAAAATCTACTTCCGTATTATACTTTTCTGCTTTGTTTTCTAGTCAATATTAATAAAGTGCCACCTTCAAAAGCCTGAAACAAACATTCAGTGAGGTTCCATAGGTTGCCAAAAGTGACAAAACTATTTTGAATTCTCATGCAAGTGAGACTGCCTAATTATTTCAAACTAATTATTTTACTTACAAGAACATCATTCTAACTGTTCAATTCATTAGCATTGCATTTGTTTTGTATTTGGAGAACAATTTGAAACAAAAATGACATTTTGCTTTTAATAGCATTTATTTATTATTTAGTATGATCACAAATTCAGTTATGAGATGCTTGGAATTTACAAAAACAAGTTCTTTATTAGTGTTTTTTGACACACTAAATGTGCACCCAACTAGTGCTACATACCGTCTGTTATCTACTATATATCTGAATATTAGAAGGGCCACAGATGAGACGAGACCATTTGGTTTCTTGAGTTCTGTTCTCGATAATCCCTTAGCCAAAAGTGGATGTACTCCTCTCTGTTCCCTCACTGAAAGGGACAAGTTAGAATAGCCAATCAACACATTCCATTGCAAGGCTTTTGGAGGTGAGAGTCCAGAAACCCCACGCAAACATGGGGATAAGATGCAAACTTAATGCAGACACCCTGTTTTAGAATCAAACCTAGAACCCTGGAGCTATGAGGCAGTAATGGTAAACAGCACTGTGCTGTTCTTGTAACTATAATTTCAAGTAAGTGATGTTAGAACAACTGTTCTCTTGTGGACCAAGAGCTGTTAAACCTGAATGTTATGCTTTTAAGCCAAAAAACCAAATGTAAAATGGTGGCGTTGAGCAATGCCTAGGCAGACATTGTCTTTCTACTGGCTTTTGTTTGAGAAAGGGGAGAACAAACACAGAAAATATGCTCACTCTGTTAGTTCTCTTATCTCATCCAGCAACTGACAAACTTTATCAGAAGTTGTTAAGATCAGGGCTAGAGCAGACCAGAGCACAGCGATATCCCAGTGTCTCTTGTGACAAGAACGAAGATGGAGAGCGAACCTGTGTCATTGAGAAACTCTTTTTTTTTTTTAAGGGAGATAGCCCTGTCACATTCAAAGCCACAAAATGCCAACAGGCCATTATAAAAGAATATTATGAGTTACTTATTTCGCAAAGTCCTGGAGTCTGCACAGTGAGTTTCTAAGGTTATTCCTTGTAAATCCTTCCAACTACAAAACATAATTTACAGTTAAATAATACAATTCATCAGAGGACTGTGAGGGTGCATCACAATAAAACCTGCACACTTCTTTAGACCACTCTCCAATTAAACCCATCTCATACATAGTAAGCACATGTAATTTGGCATTGGAAAGCAATCTCATTGCTTTAAATTATGCAGCTGTGCACAGATCACATTCTAAAAAATAGTCCCTACTCAAATGTGGTTTTTGAAGGGTTCCCCATCTAAACAAAGTTCCTGCTTTTAAAGAACTTCTGCTTTAGCAAACACCTTTTTTTAGGTATTCCCATGTGATAACAAGCCAAAATCAACCGTGTTTTACCACTACAGAGCTCCCAGGACTGTTTTTTTTCCATAAACACAAAACACTATACAAATGTTTGAGACAAGACACAAGGGCTCTGTGTTTTATAATTTAAAATATTTGCTAGGAAAGATAGAAACACATGGTCAAGGGCTGGTGCTATATTTTAAATGGTCTCATGTTATTCAGGAGAAAACAGTGCTGGGATTTAAAGAGAAATACAGTGTAGTAAACCTTCCGGTACTTGGTGTCTGCTCCAATTTGTGGTTAAGAAACAGGCCTCCCAGAGTTCAACAATCTGCTTTTTACTGGTGTATGCTGTAAGTGCAGGCCTTTTTTATACAGTATATCTCCATGATAAGATCTAAACACAGCTGTAATCTCCACAAAGATTGATAAACAAAATTTAATGAGGTGTTTCATTAAGCCCATGGCCTGAACTTGGCTCCACGTCATTCTTCAGACAGTCATTACAAAAGCTGGCCCTGATCTGTACAGTCTTTAAAAGATCTGGTACAAACACAGTTATGAAGTGGAACAGAGGGGGCCAAAGTTGAGTAGAGGGTTTGGTGAAGGTGGAATTTACTCATTGTCACTGCTGCGGGTGACTCATGCTCTTCAAAGTGTGTTCCTATTTTCTAAGCCACAAACACAATACAGGGCCTGAGATCACCTACTGTATGTGCTCACAGATGGCAAGACGACACAAAGTGGAAACACAATACTGTAGCTTTAACCTTGCTCATCATCTGGGTGGGGCAGCTTAATCTTGTCTGCTGGGATGCTGGGGCTCTTCACTCAGTTTCTGCCAAGCAAAAAATAATAATTTCTCTGAGCCTCACACACAGACATAGGGGCTTTCTAAGAAAAAAAAAAAGAATTAAATATGTCATCACATACTGCATTTAACCAACTATTTTGGGTTTGGATACCTGTGAATGAAAAGAATAGATGACAAAACCAATATATAGATCAGGAGAGACCTAAGAAACTTGAAAACTGACACATTTTCTTTAAAAACTGTGATGATGATACAATCTTCCTGAAATGGACAGATCTTAAAACTAATTATTGTGTAAGGCAGGCGACAAGGAAAATGGGAAAATTCAAGAAGGCAAGCCTCTTCTTTTGAAGCTTGGCTGGCTGCATTAGAAACTAAAATAGTCAAATAACTACCATTGGGAAGACAATAAAGACATATACAGTATACGTAACAACAGTGCTCTATATGTTTAAATATATAGTCTTTTCTAATTACGAGATTTTTGACATTGAAAAACAGTAAGAAGCTCACCACTTCCCCCCTCAGATTTGACTGCCAACACACAAACAAAATTTGATATTTTGTGTCCCACAAGGTTATAAAAACTAGTAATCACCTCTGAGAAGAATATCTTTTCAGTTCACTCACTGCTCTTAGCAGTCACCGAGTATGAATAACCATTTAAATCAATATACTGTACATACCATCTACCTTGCATACCTTAAAGAACGGAACCTAGCACCTAATTAAGAATGTTGTCAGGCAGGGTGCTTCAATATCTCTAAAAGTCTTGAAAAGTCACATTGCAAGAATTTTCAAAAAATACTGCACTGGGAAGGAAGGCTTTTTTAAAAGTGCATACTGTATTTAATTGTTGGTGACTGAACTGGACAAGTGAGACTGCTGTCTGTTAGTTGTTAAAGGTGCTGGGAGAACACAGTAAAGGAAAATGTAACAGGTCTCACACTGTTACAGCGATGTTAATATCTTTATGAAACTAAGGTAAGAGGGTTCATAGTTCATTTCCTGCCGCAGAACGTGGCACCAGAAAAAGATGGAAAGCCAGATGCTGCTCAATTCTCCTGCAGCAGGTCTTCTCAGAGAAGCAAAGCTTTCTGTCCTGCAGGGGACTGTGGAGCAAGTTGCCTATGAGTGACCATGATCAACTCCCACAGAGGGTTAAGTTGCATTTGACACAGTGACACAGGCAAGAGAAACACATGATATTGCTTTCAGCACGGATCAACACAAATCAAGCAAACCTAAAAAATGCCACTCTTTGCACAAATCTTCATAAACGATCCAAGTACTAGCAGGTAGAATCCCTCTTTAGTATCAAATGCATGAGGATCGATGCAAATCACCAGTTTGTTCCAGGATCAACTGGGATTACCACTGTAACCTAAGCAGTTTCCCATACATTCTCAGACCTGCTTTAGAAAGCCACATTTTGGGGGGAGATTAAGAGTAGGACTTTTTTCTAAGTATTTTGCTTCAGGTCAAACTTGTGTTCCCCTTCTTTTGTCCAGAAGTTGTTAGAATGTTTAGAGGTGAAAATCTGACAACAGGCAGCATTAACATGGGGAAGAGAGAAGTGAAATGAAATGAAGAGTTTACTCAAAGTTAGCAAAAAGCTTTGCAATTTGTTCAGTTAATGGCTTCTTCAGAGTATTTCTTGCCTGCAGCCAAGACTTTATGTTCAACAGCACGTAGCTGTCAAAGACAAGGACAGACTGGGGTAGTGTACCTGCTCCATGAATCTGGTTCATTCTGACAGGTGTCTTTCACAGAGTCCTGGCCTCTTTGGGAGATATCTCTTCGCCGCTGTGGTAGGCCATTTTTGAAAAGTTATCACAGGAGGAAAAGGACTGGATTCATCTCACACACATCTGTTTTCAGGACACAGTATATGTCAACCCACATTCCTTTTGGCTTTCATTTGCACACCTAAAGGCTTTGTAAGATCACTTTATGTCCATATACAATTTCTTCTTTTTGCATACCCCAACTTCATCTCCATGAGACACACAGACACACAGACAGGGAGAGAAGCTTGGGGTCAGAGTGCAGGGTCAGCCATTTATACGGCGCCCTTGGAGCAGTTGGGGTTAAGGGCCTTGCTCAGGGGCCCAACGGAGAAGGATTCCTCTGCCAGCCACGGGATACTGGAACTGCGGCAACTGGAACCCCGGGAACCAACAACCTTCCAGCCACAGGCGCAGATCCTTAGCCACAGAGCCACCGCACCGCCCCCGAGTGTGCCTTCAGATCTTAAATTCACACTCTGCAAAGGGATAAAGATGTGCTTCACAATTTGTGTTTAAAAAAATATTAAATGATGCACATTTCTCGACTACAGAAAGATCCCCTCTGAAAAAAGAAATTCTGGGCTGTGGCAAGTGTTTGCCAGTCTCCAAATGAGTTCTCAAAGGGCATGTAGCCATTACCACAAAAATCCCCACACAGTTTGACAAATGTAATCACTGTGAAGTGATTTTTTGTGTGTCAAGATTAGAGAAGTGCTTGGATAAAAAAGAAAATGCCAAGCCAGTGTTGAAACCTTTTCAGTGGTATACAGCCTATAAATAAAAGACTTTGAAAATGAAGGAGCCTGAAGAATTTAAAGCTATGGTATAAAGCAGCGCACACACATCACCACACATACAAGACTCAATGTAATAATTTTATGAAAAAATGTGAACAGGGCACATAAAAGTACACAAACATAAAATATAAGTACATTTCATACGGAATGAGAAGGATCTGTGACATCCATCTAAGCAACAAATTTAGACATCATTGTTCAGCATTTTGTCTAGCCTTGCTACCAACATCCTGCATGTCAGTGGAAGGAATCCTATTCAACCACCAATAGATGCTGGTCTAACCCATCATTAGACATGAGAAACACGAGGAACAAAGAAAAAAAACTGTTTACTTGTAACAGGTATATAAGATAATCAGAGGTACATTTGCAGGAGTATTTTTCACCGATCCACACTTCCTAAAAAAGCAAGAATGAGCCCTATGACTTTAAGCAATCACCTGCAAATGTTTAAAATGACTAGGGGGACTTCTGTCTTACACATTCATATTTGTGTGACTGGATTGGAATAGTGGTGTTTTCATATTAGAAACCAATGCCAACAAAAGAAAAACTAAAGACAAATGTATGCGCTGGGAAGTGTTTCATGAGTGCAGTCCAGTGGAAAATCCACACTTTGGAAGACAGGGGCATAAACACTGTCCCCTCAATAAATTAACACCTTGTTCAATCGTCTACAAACCTGGAATTTATAAATGCTCATATCTGATGACTTGATGGACAATATCTCTCATGTTTATGTCGGGAAGAAGGTAAGAATTTTCTGTCAGGTTACAATATGACACTAGAGAAGATCACCCTTCTTTTCACCCCTGAAGAAAAAAGTGCTGTGAAGATATATTGTCTAAACCATTCCCAATTTCTGTCTCCTTAAAGATATTGTTTTTTGAAAGCATTTTTCATTCCGGGAAGTTTCTGCACAAAACATATCATGTTTTATTAATCTTTTAAATTGACATGTCTAAAAAAAACTGCAGTATCCACACAACACTTATCCACAATGTCAACTGTTCTTAAGATTGATTGCAGATGAGAGGAGGCCATTCTACCCATCCAGGTAGCCCATCTCATACAGCTGTTCTTTTTTTTCTGACAAGTATTGTGTTGCATTTTAAACAAACCAAAATCCACAATGCATTAATTCCATTTTACCGTTATCCAGCTTTTTCTTGAAAAAAGGCCAGGGTATCAGCTTTATCCACATAATAACACAGCTGGGTAGTTATTATTTATATTCCACAAGTGCTACAGTATTAATTCAATTAACCAAGGTACTATTTAGATCCAGCTCATAGGAGCTAACAGGTGAAAAGCCTAAAGAGATGTGAGCCCTCTTCCAACAGGAAGTGGCTTGCTGCCTCTCCAAGGGATGTCAGGAAGTCAGTCTTACTGAACTCACATGGGTGACCTGGATTCTGTAGCCCCATCTGTTTTTCATTTGGTAGGCTCTATTAAAGAATTTATCCTCTGTCAAAAAAAATCCCAATTTCTGCTATTTCCTTTATCTGTAATTCAGGAAATTCCTTTTTTTTCCCGTTACAACCTCCAATGATCTTTGCCATAGCACCGAGTCAGCAATTCCTGGATGGAGCAACTGACAACATCTAATATTTTCTTTGCATACACCAAAACTTGGTGTTTTGTCAAGTGTGGAAAGTATATCGTGTGCCAGATATTCAGTAAAACCACATGTTATTAGTTACAGAGTTATCGAGGAAGGCCTAGAGCCCCATCTGACTTGCATTAATTACTTAACGAGTGTGTGGTTTGGGCAACTGGCATGTCTAGATTGAAGAATCGATAATAGTTCAAATAGCACCATACCGGCCTTTTGTGGCCACTTCTAACACCTGAATAAAATAAGCCTGTTCTGTAAGTAGATCAGATTACGTGAGGTTCAGCATCTTATTAAGAATGACCTGGTTTTCGAAAGAAAAGAAAAAGCCTTTCTATTCTTTTTTAGTGAAAACAAAATGAGGTCTACTGTTGGGTTAGAGCTACAGAAGCACAAATGCATTCTCCATCTGTCATATCGGTATTATCTGTACATTGTTTATCAATACACTGGTAGAATTTTTAAGTCCTCATTATCAAAAGGTACTCATAAATTGACAACACACCACCATTTAACATTATTCAGATTATGTTATAGATAATTAGAATATTTATTAGCACTGCAATACTCACCCCTTATCTGAAAGCTGCAATTCAGAAAGTAGCACAGGGGTGATAAGGAGTGCTTGAGCCCATGGGGCACCTGAAAAGAGGTGCAATACATTTTCAAAACAGGCATTTTTGCATGTACTGAGTTCATTAAAATCTGCAAAATCAATGCACTATAAAATACTGGTAGCCTGGGACAAGTTGTCCAATCATGTTGGCAAAGCCTATAACTTTGAGGAAGGCAAAAGGGATGGATGAGATAGCTACTAATGGCTATGAGAGCGTGGTAGGTTCAGGCAAGGAGGAGACTCTTGTCTGAACTGTGCTACCCAGAAGGCAGTGGGGAGTGATCTGTGGTCCCCAGTCACCTGATGAAACGGTGAAAGGCAATTGTTCTGGTGACATTCAAATACAGGAAGCTGAAGCTTCCAAGGGGCTTTTGAACTCGACTATGCATTTTTAGAGGGGTAAGGGAACAGAGAAGTGACTAGCCAAAGAGCCATGGACAGAAAAAAACAGAGATTTATGTTATGGAATTGGTAAGCATATAGCTGTCATTGGTCATAACTGATCAAATAATAACTTTAGTGTTAGAGCTCAATGGAAGAGTTAGTGTTTTGTTTTGTTTCCTTTTATTGTGAAAAGGTTTTGATAAATACCAAATCGTTTTAATTCCAAAGCGCAAGTGATGTGTTTTAGTGTGGAGAGATCTCTGAAGCACAGTAATGAACAAGCTAGACAGTCCAGATGGCCTTCTTGCTCTGGATTTGTGCTGATGTTTTTAAAAATATGTGCTGTATATTAAATGAGAAAACAAATCTTTAAAAAACCAAACATTTGTGATGACAGAAATCTACCCTGAAGGCCATAAGTGAAATTAACAGGGTTTGTTCTACGATACTCAGAAATGTTAGAAACTGGTGAATTTTCACAGGCTGAAAGCAGGGAAACAGCCTGTAAATGAAAGATTCAGTAGACAGAGTCAGTGCTATAAGAGTGCTGTATACTGGATAATCCATATCTAGAGAGGATTTCTTTCTTTTTTCTTCTCTATGAAAGGTTGCTTTATTTCCGTGTACCTGTCCTTTGGGGTCCCCTGCCCCCTCTCCTTGGTATTGGCACCTGTTTCTGTTGGCTAGGGATGTTTCTACCTGCTTTTCAAGAGTGCTCATTTGCAATGTTTGCTTGCAACTACCATGCACATTTTGTTACAATCATTAGTGCACTCTTTTCACACTATTTATACACATGAGCATGTATTCAGCATAATTCAGCATGACCAAAAACTCCAGACTTGTACACAAAAGAAATGTATCACTCAGATTAAATATATTTAATCCCGTGTTTTAAAAGTAATTAGGATGGGCAACTATGATTTTCCCCTGCCCATGACATTGGTCATTGTTTGTCCCGCATACAGCATGTTCTACTATACTCACCATGCTAAGGAGAAACACCTGGCAGCTGCAGGTTATCAGCATTGTGTTTTTGAAGTCACATCACTGAAGTTCTAGCACCATGTGGTGAATTCGTGTTGAAAAACCAACATAGCTTGCTGGAATGGAAAAACTGTTGACTCAAGTCCTCTGGCAGTAAACACGACACAATAAAACTACACCCAGTCTGCAGCAAAGGTATTCTTCTGTCAAAGGAAATGTCTTTCCTTATCATTATACTTCTACCCCCCTTAAATGTTGGCTTTAAAAGTGAACTAGTTAGCATAACACCACAGCTCTTCACTTGAATAATAATAATAATAATAATAATAATAATAATAATAATAATAATAATAATAATAATTGCTTACACTTACAGTATATAGTGCTTTTGTGGACACCCCACTTAAAGCGCTTTACAGGTAATGGGGACCCCTACACCACCACCAATGTACAGCATCCACCTGGATGAATGAAACTGTATTCATCTTTGACTAACACTGCGCCCTCCTTACACCATTTAAGATGGTCTTCAGGTCACATAAGGATGAAGATTTCACGTCTCGATTATCAACGTTACCCCTGAACATGCAGATCGTTTTCAAACAAACTAGACTCATTCTGCTGATGCACAGATTATGGATTTCTGTAACCACTGCTTAATGAGACCTATCATGCGGATGGGCCAAACACATGAGAATACCTACCAGAAAGTGTTCAAAAGTGTTTTCTTGGTTCGTCTGGAGTCTTACTGAACACAATCTGCTCACTACAATATGTAAGATGTAAATAACATTATATGTGTCCCGCAAAATACTGATGCACACACAGTTACCTTTTCATTGTGCATTAGTATGTTACAGTAAGTCAAAAGCCACATTGCAGCAATATGATCCTCGTATAGCTTGTTTTTCATCCACTGTGCAAAGGATACTACAACTTGAAACACAAAATATCGCTGTAATCCCAACTGGAAATAACACTGTTCTGGTACACTCTGCAAAAATAGTATTGTGACTGTTGTGAAATCAACATATTGGCAAGGAACACCACTAAAATAAATATTTTTTTTCTCTTCTGAGCTTACTACTATTTGAGCCAAGTACTCCCAGTACAGCAGCTGTAGGTCATCAGACAGACAATGGTCAAAAACAAAGTTCAAGGCTGGCATAAGAAAGGAGATTGTATGCATGAGCATTGAAGACAGGGTGGCATCTATGTATAGTCCATGCATCCGAATTCCATTACAGGCGTCAGGCTGGCTGTCCTTCAGGACAGCTGCAAAATGAGAAATCCAGTTTTGTTTCATAAATGTCAGTGATGAGCAATCTCAGCTGGCACAGTTATAATTTAACCACTGAATCAAAGAGGCAAAGTCTCTTTGGAGGGGGAAAGCGAGTTGTTCAATAAATACGTAGACATACATTTCGTCACCAAGTTGTGCATCTGGGTTCTTCTCTCTGTACACTGTGCTAATGAACTCTTTGGAGTTTGCCAAGGCTGCCTTTCTGAAATCCATGTCCTTTCACTTATTCCAATCAATACTGTGTTAGAACACAGAAACTAAAAGAGGCAAAAAAAATGAGAGAAGGCAATTTGGCCCTTTTAGCTCATTTGACCAATCTGAGGATCTCATTCAACCACTTCTTGATGGAAGCCAATGTATTAGCTTCAATGATATGGCTGGGTAGCTGGCTCAAGACTCTCACAACCATTTTTGTTAAGAGTGCTACATGTACTCAGTTTTAAATACACTTCCCCTTAGTTTTCACTTGTGCCCTCTGGTTCATGTTTTCTTGAAGAAGCCACTGGCTTAATTCTGGTGACGTCTTTGAAAACTTAAATCAGGTCCTTTCGTAGTTTCCATTGATCCAACTAAGGGAATTCAGTTCCTTAAACCTATATGGGCAAGGCATTCCTTAATAAGATATTAACTTTGCTGTTCTCCTTTGAACTGATTCCAACTCAGGAATGTATTTTTTGAAACATTACATCCTAACTTGTTCACACAATTCTAACTGAGGCCTCACCAATGCATTGTACAATTTTAACATAATCTCTCTTGACTTGCATTCTACACTATCCATAATGTTGTGAAGCTTTCTGTGTCCCAATTTAAGAGCAAAAGCAATATTTTCTCTACTTCATAAGATCACCCACTCTGTCAGTGGCATCCATTTCATGTTTATCACCAAAAGACTCCAGAATTGAAATCAAACAGAACTGTTAGCTGTACAGTGTAATAAAGATCTGACAGCATCATAACGATGATCAGCACTTTATACCTCTACTGTTCCAACAAAATGCCAACAGTTTTTTCAGCTACAGTAAGGCCTGCCAACCAGATCTGTTTCTGCTGCTGTGAAAGACCAACACCAATGATAAATTTATCATTCAACAAGAGAGTGGAAGATTCTTGTCTACAATTGCAGACAAGCATGAAGAAACCTGTCTCCAAAATGTAACCACATCTCCATTAATTTTCCTGTCCATTCTTTCTATTTGTTTTCTCTTCTGGCACTGACTAGGACTTGCTAAAACCCGAATCACATTCAAAATACAAACCAACAAAATCTCCCTGTACGGAGAGAAGGAGAAGAAGTAATAATCAACATACTGTACTTCTCAGTGTTCTGTTTATTAGAGACATCTGTTCTTGTACTTGTATATCCTCTCACAGTTACAGCACTCATTCAACACTGGATACAAAAATATTATCATCTCCTGTTTTATGTTAGGCTCATTTTATTGTGTGCTTTCCTCAATGCCCTTTGATCAAAGTTAAAGTCTACAAAGGGAATGAACAGCAGGCCAGGACAGAAATGACACCAATACGTTTTTAGCTTTAGGGATCTGAGTCTCTTCTAGGTACAGGGTGACTTACCAGTCATTGAGCACTGGCCAAGCTCTGCAAAAAGCTGGAAAAGCATGTGCAGGATAACACGTCCTAGCGGTCAGAATGATAGGGTCACTTACTGACAAGCTGCTAAGGCCGGAACCACTGACAGGTATGAAAAGCTGGCAAGTTTCTTAGAAGAAAAAAACACCAAGAGGTGGAGCTTCCCAAACGTTCCTTGGCCAAATATCATAGTCTGGATTTATGGAATTATCCTGTGTCTTCTAGCTTCAGACACAGGTTCCTGTCTTGGAGGCACTGCATGACACTGAGGAATGGACTGATGTCAGATTTTCATGAGATCTCTTGCTTCTGCAACTAACTTTGAATACTTTGAACTCCTGATGTGTTTACCGTGCCCACTGCACTTAGTTTTCTTCTTTCAACATTGCTTCACATTCATGAGATTTGTCTACTTGTTTTGGTTTAGTGATTTGCTAAGACAGTTTCCATCTCTGCCTGGTGACTTGACAGCGCCACACTAGAGAAGCTTTGGTAATGTAAATGGTTACTGATACAATTATTAATAACACATGAATATAGCTAGATGGAAGCACAGTAGTGGTTAGCACTGCTGCTTTGCAGGACTGAGATCTTGGGTTCAACTGTGGACCTGGGATATTATCTGCATTGATTTTGTATGTTCTCCCCTTATTTCCTTTGGGTGCTCCGGTTTTAATTGGCTTCTGGAAAAATTCACCCGTATGAGTGTGTGCTTGATGTTTGCTGAGATAGGCTCCGGCTCACCCGCTACAGTGAATTGCATGAAGAAGTAAAAAAAATTAATGGATTGAATATCGCTAGATCTTGGACTATCAACACAACGCTGGAAAGACAATAACTGCTCACAAATGTGTCGACTTCTAAGTGAGTGAATTAATTGAAAAAGTGAGATAAATTTTGCATCTCATTCTAGATACAAACCTTGCTAAATAAAACGTATTCAGTTTCCAAACGTTAGTTCTGAAGCAAGCATCTTGTAGTAAAATTATCTAACGTGGTTTATTGTGGACAGAAGACAAAGAGTTTTTATTGGTCTTATTTTTAATCTTATGGAAAAATTTATCTTGGGGTTATTTTCAAAAACACTTAAATGTCAGTTTCGGCTAGAGCATCTGTTTCCTGTATACGTCTCACTGAATTTAAGATTTCTTTCAGGTCCTTTTATTCATTTTCAGTTTCCTTTTGGTGTTTTATTAACCTTTCTAGTTTTTGGTCTTTCTATCGCTAATGTAAGTCTAATAGTCATATTGTTTAGGGAATGGTATTACTGGCTAGCTGTTTTCTAGAGCAAATTCAGAGAAACAAACACAATATCTGCTGTAACAGCTCTACACAGCCACTGTCTTTAAAAGGGGAAATGATGAAAAGTCATTATAAGCTGCTGTTGCTGAAAATGCAAGAAGAACGAACAGCACACTTTGCTGAAACAGCTACACACTATTAATTGGTGACAGCATACACACACCACAGGACGGTGCTTCCTACATTTTTCAGCTTGTGGCACAATTATAATGTCCCAGTAGTCTTAAAGGCACAAAAATGATTTGAAAAAATATGGTCTTATATTGCAAGAAATAACATACTGTATTTTGACATGCAACTACAGTTTAAATGATAAATACTCCTACTCCCATGGAGTGGAATTGCAATGAGAAATGTGAACTCGTTTCAGTGAACAGAACAGCTCAATATTTGGTTCAATGCTGAAAATGGCTTCACAAAACTCCCAATCCACATTTTTGTAAATATCTGATTCCAGGGCACACCTGAGACCTTTACCACAATTTAATTTAATACATTACATTTTATTCAGTGATCCATCTGTTTTGCGAACTGGTCACTTTTACCACTCCCTCACACACACATTAAACCCCTTTAGTAAAGCGCCTCTTTTAAATTTGGCATGGCCCTTAAGAGAGAAGTTATTTTCAAGAAGGAACAGCACTGGACAAAGACTTAGGTGCTGCATGTTTTTGCCATCACACTTCACAAGACACTGAATCTTTCAAAGATTTCAGAGAAGGTGTGAGGAGTCCAATTACATAACTCTCTGACTTCACACGTAGAGCATTAACAACCTTTGTGAGATACTGGCTGGAAAAAGCTTGCAACTACTTCATAATTTCCCTCATCCTTCATTGTTAAGAAGCTTGTAGCTTGTAATGGAACTAAGATGCTAAAGGGTCTTTAACTGGTGTAGGAGACAATACAAAGCCAAACTAGTCAAAAACGATACAGATAACATATTATAACTTTATATTCCATCCTCTCCAAAGAAAACCATCCTTGGCAATTACAATAGCTTTTCTAAACAGCTATGACTGTTTTAACTTAACAGAAATGTAGGTTATGCCAAGGGTTCTGTGTCCAGGCAAAGCCCTGAAGCCCACAGTTGTAACTCTCAGCCTCCTTTCCTCTCAGCTTCACTCCTTTTCTATGCTTACGCATATTTTATTTTTCTGAAAACAATCTCTAAAAGGAGGAACCACCCAAAATAAGACCATTGTTCAGATAATCAGCCAAACTTCCCTATCTTCCCCTTTGGGGTTGGGAACCATGGCAACAGACTGTTGAATTCCATTAGCCAAGCATATATTGAGGTCTTTCCTCCAGTGAGCACTCGGATCATTAAGACAATAGGGAAAAAACAGACGACTGAGATTTTTAATTTTATAACAGATTCTTAGGGGCAGTCTTCCATCAAGATCAATCCCTTAAAAACCTGTCTGGAGAGGGGAGACATCACTGAAGCCTCAGAAGCAGCCACTGCTGTCTCAGTCTGTTGATATGTGCAGTACATAAACAGGGATGTTTAAATTGCTGTGACTCTATCTGAACTTGAACTGTGTCCCAGTGGGGCCAACTATTGTATATACTATATACAGTGTAGTGATGCTGTAGCTTGTTCTAAATCTTTCAGAAAAGTCTGCAACGGACGATTATTAGTTTGCTTTTCTTTTGGTCTGACATAATAATTCTCCACAGGTTTAACTCAAATGAACTCTAGAAAAAAAAAAAGTACTATATATAGTATATACAGTATACTGAAATTAAAATCATTCATTTGATTTCACTTCCACAACCACACCTGATTCTTGCCATGTTTGTGCCTAAAAAACTGTTCTCAGCCCATTTCTCCACAAGCAGCAGACTGCTCTGGAATTCTCAGAGCAAGCTACTGGGAGATAAAGAGTCCTAGAGCCATCAGGACACTACACTGCCTTTGAGGGCTGCATAAAGTAAGAAAACCTTACTTTACCTTACCGCACAAAAAAGTGGTACTTTGCAGGCAGGGCAATTGGGTTTTTTTCGTAAACCCTTCAAAAAGAAGTACTTTTAGGTTTCTACCTGCAACAATTCAAGCAAAACCTGCCAATTAAAATCAATAGCTTCCTATCTAGTTGTCTAAGCCTGGGAAATGCATTTGCAGCTCATTCTCAATCTTAAAGTGAGTGGATGGAAGGAGGAGGGGATGACAGGGTCTGTGCATTCCAGGGGTGGGAGTGGGTGTGGGAAATACACCTGCAAGCAACTCTGTCACAATGTCATTTAAAAATCAAAGCATACTATGGTTCAAGATAAGAGAAACAAAAAGAAAAGTCTCTGCCCCCCCTCCCCACACCCACCCCCTACCCCTACCTCAATGGAAGTGATTTTAAAGTAAATCAATAAAGGATTCCCCTTCAGCATACTCCAGAGTCCACCTTGTTTAAGGGGGATTGACAAATTTACATCTGTTTGCCTTCTGGAGGATCCTGAGCTTAAACAAACTGGAAAAGAAAAAAAAAGAGACTTGTAACCCTGTAACTGATTAGCTAGCCTCTTGGCAAAGCAACCTGTTTACCCAGCACATAAGCCATCAGTCCAGGGGGGCTGCTGAGCCTGTAAGTAACCAGATAAAGAAGAAGGATGATGATGATAATGAGGAGGAGGAGCTATATGTTTAAAGCACCACCCTCCTAAGGCCTCCTGGCATGGCCTGGAAGACTCAGAAACATACTTTTTCAGCCCCCCGCCTGCTCAGGATGAGACTGTTCAATCCAGAATGATAATTACATTGGTTCCTATGGAATTATGGAATTATCTCTTATATACGTGCATCAATCTTTCCTTCATTCTCCTTCATCTGTACCTGAATCATAACAAGACAAAGAACTGATACCCAGAAAATCATTAAGACCAATTCAATAAGACAACTGAATAAACAAGTCACCCCCCTACCCACTGGACGAACCCCAAATATTAGCAAGTGTCCCCCAAATCATAGATTTCTCATTTTAAAAAGCAAGTCAGCATATTTGGCAGGACAGGTCATTCATTTGATTTTCTTCAGTTTTGTACTAACAGAAAAGCTTGAACAAGAACAATGTTTGTACAGTATAAAAAGAACAAAACTTAAAGAAATGTCTGTAGTACATTAAATACACTCCCCTGAAGGTGTAGCAGAATGACATAGTAGCATCCTCATCATCAGCACAAGTTTACATGTTTTTTTACATCTGGTAATAGAACACAACTATGAAAAAGTGAAGCATCAGAAAAATCATTGCAGACTGAAAATGTAAGAATTCCAGAAAGAAAACATTTTTTTGGGGCTTTGCACTGAAGAATTTGCTTTTTCCTTTTTACATAAAAACCTGCTATAAGTTTCAGAGCGGAAAGCACAGCCCACAATATCATAAATGTGGGTGTGCAGGTGACAACTGAAGGTAAACAAGGACCTGAAGAAACTAAAGATTTATGGGAAAACATCTCAGTGTTTTCTCTTCTTAAATGCTTTTGAATGGCATTTTTTTTTATCAGTAGGTCACCCAGAGTTTTTTCAGATTACCAGTTCCTGTGCAGGACACTGAAGAAAAACACAACCTTGTGAGGAGAATGGAATGTTAATCAACCTCCATTAAACACAGAGCTTCACATCCAACACCTCTTAGTTCACAAAGTTACTCCCAAATGAGTAGTGGTTTTTAAACAGGATAACTTCAGCCGTTCTTTCCTGTACAAACTGAAAAGGAAGTCCAGGCTGAGGTGGGCACATCCTTATTCACTGGCAGCTTCTGCTATCTGATGGGGCTTGGTCTCTGTGAGGCTATAGCTAAAGGCTGACCGCACTCTGATTGGCTGAAGCCCAGGATCAGTTCCTTGATGGGTGGAGCTTGCTTGGTTTTCATCTCCTGCAATTGAAAAGAAAGTCCCATCAATAAATATTCATCATGACCGAGCTGAACATTCACAGCTATCTATAAAGGCAGTGGTGGGCCTCTCTTCTCTTCAGACACTTCAGGGGCTTCTTGGTTTCATTCCTCCTCAGCCGTTCATTGTGTATCCGGAATGATTAACTTCATCCGTCAAGGAAAATCCTTTTATTCTTCAACATTTATAAAATTACATTAACTGGAAATCCACGGAATCTGGCCCTTTATTTGTTTTTTGGATTAGGGTGAGGGTGACAGTCTCACTGGTCAGTGTAAGTTCCTCTTGTAAAAGACTGCTAAACAACTTTTTTTTCTATTTTGATGGTACCAACTGTGACAACTCTGACACACAGGAAAAACAAAGATTTGAATACTGTTGAAATTGTTACCAAAGCTTTTAGAAACACAACTGTCAGTGAAAGCTCAAATGCCTTTTTAACTTTACATCCTCGCAAAGAAACTCACCAAAAAAAACCAGACACTTAGTGTCCAACAGCCCAAGCTATGCAAAATGGGCAAAAATGAACCTGAACATCCAAACTACTTCTCTGTGTCAGCTGCAGTAGAACAAATTTCATTTTGTATTGTTCCTTGAATATTACCAGTAAAGCAGGATGACAGATCTCTGAGGGAACCTGTTGTGTTTATTCAGACTGGCTGGAAAGCATTACATATCCTCTCCAAAACTCTTTCCTGCTTGTTAGGAGGAACAGATTTTCTTGTCAGACATCCAGAGATGACAGGGTAAAATAGTTATTAGCATGGTAAATGGAACCTAAGGAACACACAGATTGTGAGTGGTTGGGGAGGTTTAGAGCCTTATAAAAACATTTGGAAGGTAAAAATATAAAATAGTATTAAGTGTCCATTTCTAACGGCATCATTCATATCCCATGTTGTATTTTGTGTTTTCTGAAGCATTATCTTTGATAATTGTACAGAAAACAAGAGTATTTTTAAGTACAGAGCTGTCTTCTTTTATTTGGAAATTTATTTTTTTCAGGGGACATGAGCTATCACAATATTTACGTGCTGGTGATTAAAGAGGAAATAAATACCAGAAGGTGTCCAATTTAAGTGATTCTTCACAAAACAATTCCCAAAATGCCAGAAAGTTAAAGGCGGAAGTAGAATGTGTTTTTTTTCCTTCTTCATTATCTAGAGCTCTATTTAAATTCCTCTACAAGGTGATTCCCTGCTCTATTCTTTCACTGTCTCTTCTACAATGTCAAGTCTCATAAAAAGCCAATGAGAGGTGGTATTCCTGGGTATTTCCACTTTATAATCAGGATGCAAAATCTGCATGGGAATGCTTTTTAAGTGCCACCTTTACAATCACAGGGGAATTTTGCCCATAGTTAAATACAGACACATTCTGAATGATTCAAAAAGATCTCATATGAACCTGGCAAATTTTTTACCAGAAAACTGGACAATGATTGTTTGGCGGCCTAGGGTTTTAATCTCAGTCTGTCAGTGTTTTGCCACACTGACATATCTGTAACTTCTACCTTATTTTTGCGAGTCTCTATTGTGACACTACTCTCCTTTTGCTGCCTGAACAGTTTTTTCCAACAATGCATTGGTTTATATTGCCCAAAACTAATTTACCTCACTATGTTGACAGGTATAATTCTATCACATGATACAAAACTGTCATCTAACTTATCTTATTCATTACTGTTCATGAGATTTCTGTTGCTGACAGGTTTTGACTTTTGTCACATATGATATCTCTACAATTCCAGGAGTAGCAGTATGGTTTCTGGTTGGCTTGCTGTGTGTTTTGAAGCAGTTAACAACTCAAGAGAGGTTGAAGATACAAGGAATTACAGAACAATTGTCATTGTGAGCTGAGGGAAGTTCCCACACTGCATTTTTCGCTTGTTGTTTGGATGTTTCTGATACTGACATACTGTAAGTGATACTGACGTTTTATCATATGTTCATGCGGGAGATGGCATCTCGTGCAAATTTCACTTCACACAGACTTGAGAAGCCTCAACAAAACCTTTCTAAAAGTTGGTGAGGGTCACAGCGGCGGGATTTTTTTTAACACATAAAGTAAAGCCTGGTTGCAGACAATGCTGTCACACGGTTTTGTATAAAACCAACAGGGAAAAACCCCTCTGGGCCAACCACTACCCAGAACTGTGAGTCACTGTGTCAGTGCGGCATTAATGAGGGGATCAAATTGAGCTGGATCTCCTATATCAGCTTTAGCTTTGATTTCTCCCTCCTCAAAACAAAACAAGAATGGAAAAAAAATGTCTTGAAATGAACACCTTGGCAAAACCTGCCACTATATAATGTATCCAAAAGTGGCCTCAACTTGGAGCTCTGCCAGACCCCTAACCCTATCGGTCATTTCATTAAAAAAAGAAAGAATACCGCAAGGGAATTAGGGATCCCTGCACATTACCTGCCAGTTCCTGGGGGAAGGAAAGTACAGAACATATGGGACAATCTCAAGCAAACAGCGGTGTATGCAGAAATCAGGTGGACGGCCAGATAGAGCTATGAAACATTAACCAAAACTTCTCTAAAAAGGGCAATCAAAACCTTTTCCTTACTTTACAATTTACATGGAGAAAAGTAAGAAACCATATGAGTAAAATGCAACGTCACTTATATTAACGGACTCTTAACCTAGCCTAATGATGAACTGCTGTCAGCCTTTATGGGATTAAAGGATTGCCCGGATTGCCTGCATTCTTGTTGCAATTTTCTTTCATGCAGTCTCATTCGAAGTGAGTATGTTTCAGTGAAATGGGGGTTTGTAATGCTAGCAATTGTCTGACACTTGCGTTCTTTTTTGCTCAGTTACTAATAAGCCTATTGGTCTTAACCAGAATTAATCTTTAAATAGCTCAGTTACATATTTCTCTGGAGCGGATTTTTTCATTCCTCTGCTTATTCCTATGCTACTGTTTGCCACAGAGGAGCATGCAGCACAATGTTGGTAGGAAACCTGCCTTCAATTAAGGCTTATCGTCAACCAAGGTGCACTTTATCTACTGTGTAATAAACGTTACAGACCTACCAAAGTTCAGACCTAACAACAGGTCTAGCAATCTTGCATTCAAGCAGTTTCAGAAGTTTAAATCTTACATAAGAATGTGTCATACATAAAACACACAGTGTGTTAAAGTAAACTCAGTCTCATTGCCACCCCAACTGTCATCACAACACGTACTATAAAGAAAGGTTTAAAATAATGAACTCTGATATCAACATAGTTCGAGCTGACTTACTGTATCTAAAATACTTCTGGTGAAAAGTTTTACATGTCTATTTTTGAAAAATACTCTTGGACCTCTTTTTGTGTGGCAATTTTAAGGACCATTCAACATTTTTAGTAGATAAAACAGCAAAACAAATCTTTATCATTTATAAAATTATGTTTCCTACAAAGTCAATTCATGTGTTTCCTTTAAATTGTAGAATGGGGCTGTGAACTGCAAGTATAATGAAAAATAAGTAAAATAAATACAAAGAAGTGTTATAAATCACAATACCTGTTAGATTGCAATGTAAGACAAACGCTGACAACTTCTCTTCAGTAAAAGACTTCAAAAGCACTATGAGCTAATTTAACATTGCACCAGTAAAGCAATGATACACAATTTATTTTACCTCCTGAATCTCAAAATGAGGCTTAATCCCTCAAAAATAAAAACAAACTATTAATGGAATGGCTGACAATTAGTAAAGTGTGTTGTTGCTCATGAAAAAAGATCTTTCTCTTCCCTCAGCCCCTAGCCTCCAGGGACTGTAAAATGAATCTTGGGCAGCTGTGTTGAGGCCTACAGTAACAGTTCCAAAGCGAACCCATGTCCCTCACTGATTAACAGCAGAACAATGCAGTTCTTTGTGACCGACTCCCCTCCCAGCTCCGCAAGGAGAGTTTCCTGTCGATCCAGGCGCATCAGACAGAGACAAACAGCACGAAGGACAGCAGCTTCGGAAATGGGGGACAAACAGCCTGGTAATTGATCGGCGAGCAGATGGAAACACAATAAGACCACAGACAGACTGACAGCCAGGCTCTGTCCTCTTCCTACAGTCTTTCTCAGAGGAACCATTTCTCATTGGGCTTTGCTCAAAGCAGGTGAGGAGCTCCTGGATTCTGTGACTCAGGTGCATTAAAGAATTAAGAAATTACATTTGTATAACATCCAAACCATGCCAGTCCTGTCTCCTTTAATAGAATAAAGAACCCATAAATAGACTTCTTGGAGATCAAATGTCAGTCCCAATACTACAGCACACATATTAGCTTCTTATATTTCATAAGAAACTCTGTCACTGATCATCCTCAGTTAAATGCACCAAGCCACTACAAATGTGCAAGAACTGTATGTTTCTTTTTCTACAGCTGGTCAGACATCACAAACAGAACAGTAAAAAAAGGAGCCTGGAGCAAGTTACTGCTTATCTTTAATCTCCAGAATGAAAATCATGAACACCTTTCTTTCTCAATATTGTTCAGGAGAGATCTACTTAGATATTACACATTCAACACACATCCTGCACAGTTATTATTCTGTTCCAGTAAGCCATGAAAACGCCTAGATTTGCAATTTTGATGTAATGGTTGTGCTGACTGTCACTGCTGTGCCCCTAATTAGGGCATGGAAATCCCACTGTTCTTTATGATTTTTATTGGAATTAGTTCACAAAACCGTTATACAATCTGCCTACCTCAAGTCCTAGACATGATGCAGGTGCCAGAAACGGTTGTAAACAATGAGCATTTTCTTGTTTTCTGCTGTACATATTTCCCCTAATATTCCCACTGCCCATGGGAGGACGCGTCACAGACCTTTGTTGCAATTTGTAAAGACAGGGACGTGCAAGGAGGAAAAGATATACAGTACAGTTGAGAGATTTTTCAATTAAAAACAATCCCATGAAAATGGGAATAAAAAGCTACTTAGGATTTCAAAATCTTAGTAACTTAATATGATTTTATGAAT